GATGGATGTAGACATTGTTTTTGTGAGCAAAAACATGTTAGTTAACTCGTTTTGGAATTTATTCGCTGAGAATTCATTCATTCATTTATGTGTTAATCTTATTATGAGTCAATTTATTCATTCAGTTCGATCTTGTTTTCAGTGTTTTTGATTTATTAGTCCACGAGCAGATCCACTTTCTTCATCTGTTCATATGAATAAAAACAAAGAATCAATTATTTCAGGAATTCTGTTCATTATTAACATGTCCAGAACGTCCAGATTCTTGTCCACTCGAGCAATGGAAAAGAAAAGAAGGTGTGTATGTGTGCGATTTTCATTCGTGTAATCCACTCACAGTTTACTTTGAGTGAACGCAATTTCTAGGCGTGATCGCAAGACAATAAGACAATATTCGTGGATTATCCCATTAAGGCAGTTATCCCCATTCAGAGATTGATCTTCAATTTGATCGATTATGTTATGAATGTGTGTTTGGTTACTAAACATGTATCTTCGTGTCATTGATGCAGATCGATGAAAAAGAAGTAAAGAATCCAATTTTTGAAAAAAAANTGGTTACTAAACATGTATCTTCGTGTCATTGATGCAGATCGATGAAAAAGAAGTAAAGAATCCAATTTTTGAAAAAAAAAAACCTATCGGTTTATAACTCAAGCGACATCAATGATTTAGAGAACCAATGCATTTGTACTGCACGATAGCAGTCATGAAAATTACTGTCAAGAGCAGTTACATGAACAATTCAATTTCAGGTGAATGTTGTGCGAAATGTGTAACGGATCCTTACAATGCGATCTCGAAACACGAACACACCGTGTGTCAAAGTGCTGGTCGTTTGTTTGTGGATGGTGAAACATGGCAGCTGGCACCATGCATCTCATGCACGTGTCGTGTTGGTAATGTGCTCTGTAGGGTNNNNGAATGTCCACCAATCGCATGTCCAAATCCCATACCCGACCCGAGTAATAAATGTTGTCCCAAGTGAGTTGCATTTTTAAGATGAACACTTTTCTCACTATTATTCCGTAAACATTTCATAAATTTTCAAATTTTGACTCTACATTTAAGTTTGTAGGCGAAAAATTGTCATAAATGAGAGTGTCTCTGATTAGGACTCCGTTATCTGCCAAACATTAAAATGATCACAGAGTGTTGTAATATCATTTACAGATGTCCGGATGAGACAAATTCAACGTCATTGTTGGCGCTGTCGCACGAACGAGGAACCACACTGATCTGCACCGATGAGAACGATATGGCGCATGTTGAAGGGTCAAGTTGGAGAATTGATGAATGTACATCGTGCAGGTGATTGTTACTATTATTTTTGAAAGAGCTCGGTCGATAACCACCGACTGAAAACGAAACAAAATCTTGATCGGTCGGTATCAAAAATCATCTTTTGGTGGGCACCGATTGAGTACTTAATTGGTAGTCACCGGAAAAGCCTTTCGGTTCCCAGCAATAATGGCTATGACAATTCTTATTGAACCTAGAATGTCCTTCCTACGGATCGCATTTTCTCTCATTAACCAATAAACTCAATATGAATCATTATGTGTCCAAACCAATGTTATAATGTATTTAATTGAAATGTAAAATGTTAATTATTCTTATTATCTTCATTATTTTTGTCATTCTCATATTTCTGCACTCAAATTTCCAATTTTGAAGATGCGTCGCAAGCGAAGAGGAGTCAACTGATACGAAAATTGAATGCTTCCGAGAGAAATGCGCTGGATTAGAGAACTGTTTGGGTATGCCGCTCACTATTAAAGGACGCTGTTGTCCAGTTTGCTCAGGTTTAACTTTCACTCATCTTTATGCCTGTGAAAACTATAGATTTTTTACCAACTCCTTTGTATGTTTTTAAAATGAAGTTCAATTGTGTTTTCAAATTCGCTTTCTGACGCATATTTTTCGATTTTGTTGAAATTTACCGTCATATTTGACTCTTTGAAGTGCAGTATTAGCCTGAGGTGTAGGTTCGATCTGAGCAGTCTCCTTACACGCAAAACGCCCCTCTAGAAACTGATTTTGAATCAAATTTTCCTTAAATACTGTTCGATGATGCATTAAATTCACTGTATCAACGCTACCGTAACCGCAAATCGCAAGCGACTCCGCCCAAATTCACTGCTGCGCTCTGATTGGTTGTTCAGGGAGCGTTTACTTCCATTGCACTCTGTTGACCGTAAACGCCACGTATAACATTGAAACTCGCAAGTTCACATTTTTGACTGCAGAAAGCAAAATAATTCTGCCTAGGATAAATCTCCATAAGGTCGTTCAGTACCACACTTCGTGAGCAATTCTTCGCGATTGCTTCTGATGAACATAACAAGTCATTACTATTAAACACAACTGATTTATTACTTTTAAATGTGTGAAGTAATGATCAGCCCTATTCTAGACGTGCTATCATCGGAGTCAGTCTGCATCTACAACAAA